CTTGTAGACCTTGTATATCTTAAGCTGTCTTACAAAATGTACACTTGTAGACCTTGTATATCTTAAGCTGTCTTACAAAATGTACACTTGTAGACCTTGTATATCTTAAGCTGTCTTACAAAGTGTACACTTGTAGACCTTGTATATCTTAAGGTGTCTTACAAAATGTACACTTGTAGACCTTGTATATCTTAAGGTGTCTTACATAATGTACGCTTGTACAACTTGTATATCTTAAGCTGTCTTACAAAATGTACACTTGTAGACCTTGTATATCTTAAGGTGTCTTACAAAATGTACACTTGTAGACCTTGTATATCTTAAGGTGTCTTACATAATGTACGCTTGTAGACCTTGTATATCTTAAGCTGTCTTACATAATGTAGGTTTATAGACCTTGAATGTTTTAAAAGTCTTACATAATGTAGGTTTATAGACCTTGAATGTTTTAAAAGTCTTACATAATATAAGTTTCAGACCTTGTACGTTTTAGAATATCTTGCACAATGTAGGTTTGCAGACCTTTTATGTTTTAAACTGTCTTACACAATGTAGGTTTGTAGACTTGGACGTTTTAAAATATCTTACACGATGTACATTTGTAGACTTGTACGTTTTCAAATATCTTACACAATGTAGGTTTGCAGACCTTCTATGTTTTAAACTATCTTACGCAGTGTAGGTTTGTAGACCTTCTCTGTTTTAAACTGTTTTACACAATGTAGGTTTGTAGACCTTGTACGTTTTAAAATATATTACACAATGTTGGTTTGCAAACCTTCTACGTTTTAAACTGTTTTACACAATGTGGGTTTGTAGACCTTGTAAAGTTTAAACTGTTTTACATAATGTGGGTTTGTAGACCTTGTAAAGTTTAAACTGTCTTACATAATGTGGGTTTGTATACCTTGTATGTTTTATACTATATTACACAATATAGTTTTGTAGCTATATATGTGCATAGGTTCTTTATGTTTTCAAGCTGCTCACATCATTTATGTTTTAGGCCCCTTATGTATTAATCCAGATCGCACAAGGTATCTTTGTTGATAGTCTGTTAATCCAAGTAACACGGCATATCTTTGTTCTACTTTATTAATATAGATCTCACAGCATACCTTTGATGATATTCTATTAATCCAGATCACAAAGAGTGCTTTTGTTCTACTCTATAAGTATAGATTGCACAGCCTACCTTTGATGATATTCTATTAATCCAGATCACAAGGTGTGTATGTTTGGACGGGTTTTTCACAAGAAGATATCTTACAATATATTGTTACTGCTGTTCTGTTATTTAGCGTGAAATCAAAGGTTATGTATGTGTGTTTTTGTTTTCAAATTTTCGTACATTGTACGATTTTTGTTTAATGTAAAGCAGAAGGTTTAATCAGGTTTTGTTTTTTATACGATCACATCGCACATTATATTTCTATACATATTTTACTTGTTAATGATATATATATATATTTCTAGTGTTGTTTTACTATCATGTTTTTTTTGTTTTTAATTAATTATGCACAAAGCTACACAAGGGCTATCTGTGCTCTGCCCACCACGGGTATCGAAACCCGGTTTCTAGCGTTGTAAGTCCGCAGACATACCGCTGTGCCACTGGGGGGGCTTTTACTATCATGTCTCAGTTTCATAATATAAGTGTGCAAATCATTTCTTCATTAAGACCTGAGTAGCTGCCATTTGCTGTTGAATGAGGGTCGTATTTTTATTAACGAAAATACACCACCCATTACACTTTTGTGAATAATGCATAATTAAAGCCATCTGTAATAAAGAAGACAAATTTCTAGTACAATTTACATAATTCTATATAGGTCATTCTTGCTATGGTTCTTTGGTCAGGGATATTTTTGCTATGGTGAACAAGGAAACTTACTCTAACATGGAAGGTAAATACAGATGACTGAGCGTTCTTAATCATATGATCATATGAAAATACAAGAATGGAAAAACATCTGTCATATTTTCCCTTCCATAACATTAGTCACTTGTATAGACGTTTGTTGTTTAGATATTACGTGTTGCATCAAGAAATTCTTATTTCTAAACACATCGTGTTTTCTTTATTATGTTGTTCCTTGCATAGAGATCACCATTGATAACATCAAGTAGAGCACGATTTCCTTTCTGTTGACTTCTATCACTTTACATTCAGTTTTAGAAACAAGTTTTTACTGACAGAGAATTTTGAACTTTGGAAGTGAACTTTGCGACACGATGCCAGTATTTCAGGTTTCAATCTGTTTCTAAACAGGAAAGAGAAAATGCGTCAAACGTGTCCTGTATCTTAGTGCTTGAAATATGAGTCATTCAGATTTGTTAGCTGTAACAGTGATGTTTCACTAGCGTAGTTCTCGCCAGATGAGATAAAATAGACTTTTATATTGAAAAGCACAACGTTAATGACAATTTTACCAAAATGGTTTGTGTGAAAACGGTAGGCCAGAAAATAGCTATATAAGATAGACTTTTTTTTTTATTCAAAAGCACAACGTTTTTAAGAACGTCTATTTTATACAGCTATTTTCTGGCCTACCGTTTTATTTATGTAACACAAAATCTCCTTTTTGACTATTTTTTTATTTATTTAACGTAAATGTTTATATTCAAAAGCGCAACGTTAATGACAGTTTTACCAAAATGGTTTGTGAACGCAGTGTTTCATATGAAGAGCCAGTCTTGTGTCATTATTGATAAAGTCAAAGTTTACGTTAGGTAAAAAAAAAAAAATTAGTCAAAAATTGGATTTTGTGTTACATAATAAAACGGTAGGCTAGAAAATAGCTATATAACTCAACACCATCCGCATTCAAAATACCCATGAAACATATTGTAGAAATTCATGCATTTTCTTCTTATGATTTAAGATTTGAATTATGTGCTAGGCATTCTTTACTCCTTTTAATTAACAAGTCGTTAGACGGAAACGTTCGGTCACTTCTGTCTAATGTTTTGCCCACCAGTGGCACAGCGGCATGTCTGCGAACTTACAACGCTAGAAACTGGGTTTCGATACCAGTGGTGGGCAGAGCGCAGCTAGCCCATTGTGTAGC